ATGTCTGTCTTCTTTGGAAATATGTTTGTTCAGGTCCTTTACCCATTTTTAAATCAGATTATTTGGTTGAGCCAAGTTTATATATATATATGATATTAACCCGTTATCAGCTATGTCATTTGCAAATATTTTCTCCCATTCAGTAGGTTGCCTTTCCATTTTGTTCATTTCCTCTGCTGTGCAGAAGCACTTTATTTTGGTGCAGTCCTCATAGTTTATTTTTGCTTTTGTTTCTCTTCCCCGAGGAGACACATGTAGAAAAATATTGCCAAGGTTGAGGTCACAGAGGTCACTGCCTATGTTTTCCCTGAGCAGTTTCATGGTTTCAGGTTTCACATCTCAGTCTTCAGTCCATCTGGAGTCTGTTTGGTGTGCGGTGTGAGGAAGGGGTCCGGGCTCCTCCTTCTGCATGTGGCCGTCCAGGCCTCGCAGCACCGTCTTGAAGAGATTTTTCTACCCGTTGGGTATTCTTGCCTCCTTTTACTTTGTTTGCTTTCCTCTGGCTGTGCTCAGGGCTTCGGCTCTGTGTTGGATAGACGTGGCAAGAGTGGGCGACCGGGTCCTATTCCGGCTCTTAGGGGAGGAAGCTCTCCGTGCTGACCCGTGAGTGCCGTGTCAGCTGCTGATTGTCACACATGACCCGGATCAGGTTGCGGTCCCCCTCCAGTTGTCCGTTTATCCAGTCGTTACCACGTCATCAGTCACTCCACTGTCACACGGGGCAGCTCGTGTGTGAGGACAGACACCTCAACCGTATGGTGATGCGTTTGAGCGACACACGGGCTGCCAGCCCTCCCCGTGTTTCTTCCCCACGTCATAGCTCGGCTCCTGCCGTGGCCAGACTTCTTCACTTCCTCCCCACTTTTCACGTTCCCTTCTGCCTCCACCTCTCCGTCAAGATTTGTCAAGGTCACCCCAGATTCAGTGACCGTGCCGCGCAGCCACTCTGGGCACAGTGGATGTTTCTGTACCGCAGCATCTTCCCTTAGCTTCGGGGTCATGGGGGCCTGGTTCTTCTCCCCCTCACTCAGTCTCCGTTGCTGGCTCCCCTCCTCTGCCTGACCCTGAACTGTTCGGTGCCGCCCAGGGCCCTCGGCTCCACGCGACTGGCTGTTGGCCCCTGTTCACCCCTCCCTCCTCGTGCCTGGAGCAGACGCTGCTGGCAGCCTCTAAGTGCATGTGTCGAATGGGTGAAGGAAATAAGGTTGTGTCAGACAGATGAGTAGAATCCATTCTTTGAAGAAAAATAGTCCGTTCTCATTGTTTACTACGGTCGTCCGGTTCTGTCAAGTTACCGCGAATAGTGGATTAGCGGCTACGGAAGAGCTGCTCCCGGCGTGGGGCTCCTGTGAGCCTCTGGTCACAGTGTTTTCATCAGATGATGAATGCTTGAGCTTGTTTTATGTTTCTGTTTAAAGACATCTGATTTGAATACATATTGTCGATTTATTAACGACAAACTCACGGCAACAACACGGACTCCTGCTAAACAAAGCTTACCAGCCGCACACGATTCTCCGGGGGACACGGCCCGGCCCTCTTGCCCTTGGGAGCACCAGACGGCGCTGTGGCCAGAGGCTGTTGTAAGCTGTGGGATCACTGACCCAAAGTGCAGGAGGCGAAAACACAGACCGTGGAAAGGACAGTTGTTCACGGTGTGCGCTGAAAACTAGAAAGCGGCGGGTAGCACCCTGTTCAGCTTCTGATGGGAGCATGTGCATCCCGCGCCTCCACATTTTCTTTCTGCCCTATGCGTGTCCCCGGACCACTGTAGAAGCAGCGCAAGTATTAATTTTGGGGGGTTACGGATACGCTTTAGCAACCAGGCAAATTTACAGATATAGAATCTGAATAATGAGGATCGACTGTACTTGGAAATAAGTTGTTTTCACCACTGATTTAATTTACGGGGTAGTGAATTTCAGTAACTTTTACTTATTTTGTAAGAACTCAGTGTCCCATAGGCCACCTTCTCTTCACTGTTTCCCGGTCGTGCAGTGAATGAAGCTGAGGCTCCAGCTCCTATTTCGCCATTGAGGAAGTGTGTACTGGGTACCAGGTCTTTTTTTTTTTTTTTTTTTTTTAAGAATTCTCAAATTTTTAAATTTTTATTGGCATATGCTGTTTTGATTTTGGGGGGGAGATTTAGAGAATTTTATTTTTTAAATTTATTTTAATTTAGTTTTTGTGTGTGTGTTTGCCAAAATTCATTGTTTATGCACCACACCCAATGCTCCATGCAAACCGTGCCCTCAATACCCACCACCAGGCTCACCCAACACCCCCACTCCCCTCCCCTCCAAAACCCTTAATTTGTTTCTCAGAGTCCACAGCAGGTCTTATAACTAATGAACAGCACAGTCAGGACTCAGTCTGATTTCCACGGGGTACCTGCCTCTCTTGGTCCCCGTCATACCCCCGACCTCATGAGTACTGTGGTACCAGCAGCGCTTGCCTGGTGCTCATGCTAGAACGAACGCGCTTGGACTTTACCACCCAAGGGCGTGGTGCTCCTTCACCATGGACACAAATACCGTGGGCAGCATTAGCCCATTTTTAGATAGGTCCCTATTCAAGAGATTGCGTTTTGTTTAATGGTAGTTTGAAAGGTTTGGGACGTACCCCAGAATCTAATCCTAGGTCTGTGTCAGTCATCGGACAAACTTCTAACCAGCTGCTCTTGGGGTGCCAGACCTGGGGGTGCACCCTGACCTGGCCAGGGACGCCTCTGGCTGGCCAGTGGTTATGGGATAACTACCAGAATGAGAAGCAGAGAAAGTGATTGATTAAGTGCATCCCAGACAGTCATTAAATCCTGAAGAAAGACCAAGGTGTAACGGGCAAGGGGAGCCTGAAGAGGGAGACTGGGGACAGGGATGGAAGAGGGATGGAAGAAGTGCCCTTGGCCCCTGGGCCTGAGCAACCAAGTTTGGTGGCCCGGAGCCCTCCTGGCATCTGCCGGCCCAGCGGGCCCGCTGCTCACCAAACAAGCTACTGGTCATAATGTGGTGTCCCCGCTAGGTTCCAGGGGGAAGGGGCTGGTCAGGAAAGCAAGTATTGGGACCCGAAGGGCCTTCTCCCTGCACATGACCGACAGTCTGGTTTCCCGTCGGTCTCATCTGAGCGTGGTCGCCTTGGTGATTGAGCTCTGCCGTGTGCCAGACAGCACTGCGAAGGCTGGAGACCCGCTGTCAGTAAGGACAGACCAAACACCCTGCCTGCGTGTGGCAGCAGGACCTCCCTTGACTCTGCCCTTCCACGGAGAGTCGGGGCCTAGAAGGGACTGGCCACTTTCTGAGATGCTGCTGACTGACCTACTGTGTCTGCATCGAGCCCAGCCTGCTGTGCTGGGAAGAAGTTGTGCTCTGTGTAAACGTGACTGGGAATCAGACACTTGATTTCACGGCCTGTTCCGTGCTAAGGAGCAGCAAAATCCTATAGTTCTCCTGCACAGCCATGTGTCATGTCACACTTCATACACATATATTCTGGCTACCACCCTGTATGTGAGTACCTCGTCGTGTGGAGCGCATCAGGCCGTCACAGCCACACCGAAATGGGTGATACCACACATTTTCCTAGAAATCGTTTCTCTCTTTTTTTAAAGATTTATTTTAGAGAGAGAGCAGGCAGAGGGGAGGAGCAGAGGGAGAGAGAGAGAGAGAGAGAACCTCAAGCAGATTCCTCACTGAGTGCAGAGCCCAGCACGGGGCTTGATCCCACAATCCTGAGATCATGACCTGAGCCAAAATCAAGAGTCAGGCGCTTAACCAACTGAGCCACCTAGGTGCTCCTAGAAATCGTTTTATCTTAATAAAAGGTCCCTTAGAGCTTGTTCTTTCATTGTCTCTAGTAGTTGGGTTTCTAAACTAAAGCCTGTCTTTGTTACAACATTTAAATCCAGCAACAGAGCTAATGGAAAGGAATCCTTTCGAGGAACTTTGTATTTTGTCTTTTGTGTGCGTTTTCATATTCGGGCATCTGATTGACAGTGGAAACGCTGCTGCGGCTTCTGATGGTCCGACCTTCCAAGTCCCCCTGGGCTGGACCTGTCTGGTCATCTCTGCTGTGTGTGCCCAGTGCTGGTCCAGAGAGAGGGTGTGGCCTCAGGTCATGGTTGGGTTGACGAACGGGTGTGTGCTTGAAACACCGGGCACGGAGAAAGGCAGGCCACATGCGGAAGCAATGTGGATTGTTGCCTCTGTGGTTTTTCTACAGTCCAGTCTTCTCTTTGCTTCTAGGTCTGAACTTACCAGGTATTTACCACTGAAACAAGGGCAGGAATAAAGATCGGGGGACCTGTGGGCATTTAGTGGGGGTGGCTGGGTGTAAGATACTATCTTCGGAAGCTCTGTTGTACCTGTGACTTTCTATGCAAGATGTCGTGTACACTCACTTTTAACTCGCCATCTTATGAATGGAGGGTGTCCCCACTTGATGTGGGGAGCAGGGAGGTAATGTGTGTAGAGTACTGGCTATGGGCCATTATTTGCAACCCCCTGAGCAGTAACATAGAGGAGCTGTGATCCCCATTTTACGCATGAGGAGGACAAGACGTGGAGAGAGCGAGTCACGTAGAGATTACCTGGGGCCCGTGACTTGTCCAGTGCCAGTGGGGAAGGGCCAGGACCGCAGGTGCGAGCAGGGAAATGAGGCCTCTGTCCTCACCGAGCTCACGTTCCAGGGTGTGTATAAGGAGCCACCCAGTGAGCAGAATGGTATGAGGAACAAGGAGGGGAGCAGGGAGACCCAGGGAGCAATCTGTCTGCAGCTCATAGGCCGTGAGTGTGGCCCCAGTCTGTCTGCCCGCAGGCTGTGACCTCCACCCTCAGCTATGTTCTGGAACCGTCCCTACAGCCCGGTCCTGTCACCAGACAGCCACCACGTAAGCCTGTGGCGCTTTGCTGGGCGTGCGCGTGCATTTGGACGTGCATGTGTGTGTGCGTACGGACTGCAGCTGTTGACGTGAATACACATGCGTGCTGTTTTCCTTCTTGCAGCGGATACTGAAGATGTGTGCATTGTCGAGAGGCTGTTCTCAAGCAGCCTGGTGGCCATCGTCAGCCTCAAAGCTCCTCGGAAGCTCAAGGTTTGCCACTTTAAGAAAGGAACCGAGATCTGCAACTACAGCTACTCGAACACCATACTGGCCGTGAAGCTGAACAGGCAGGTGAGTGGCGCGTGGCCCAGACTGCCGGGTGTGCCAGCCGCGGTCGCTGCTCAGCATGCCTCGTGCCTGTCGCCGCCATCGCGGCTTCCTGCAGTGGTCTGGGACAGCTGGTGGTCCCGGGCCCCCAGCCCTTGGCCCTGCACCGGTTCGCCTCACGCCAGCTCCCCGATTCAGCTCTGTTTCCTCAGCAGTTTGCTCAGAGCACGCCATCCCTTGCTGTCCCCCAGGTTGAGTCTCCTCATCCGTCGAGACACGAGCCGTAGCGTTTCTCCGCACACCGTACACTCGTCCGTAGGGCTGTGCCATGGCTTATTCACTTTCTTCCACTTTTGTACATGTTACTTTAAAAAAGTCTGCTGGCATCTTCTTCCCATCTTCTTCTTGTTTCCCTTTACTAATTTAAGATGAAGGACTTACTCCTTTTGTTATCTTCGCCAAACTCACAAAACGTCTGGCGCAGAGCGTGGACTCAGTGGCTGGCAATTGAGTTCAGTTCACGACAATATCTTGTGGCTTTCGCTTCCCCACCAAATGCAACACAGCCCCTGAGATCCTCCAGCTTTTCTGTGACAGTCACATACCCCACGCGTGGAAAGCTAACGCAGTCGCCCGGTGTGGCTCGCACATCACCCCGGAGGGAGGGCGTCCACAGTGTACCCACCGGGTAGATGGTTGTGGCAGAGGCCTGCTGGCATTGCTCTGCAAACCAGAGGACGTGGTTATGATGGGAAATGACAAGGCACAACATGTCGAATATTCCTTAAACGTAGAACATACACATGTACGCTCACGCATCAACTGACTTAACCGTCTGCTGGGTGCACGGACCACAAGCACGTCCCTGCTCTGTGGGGTGTGGGTGTGGACTTCAACACCTGCGGGTAGTGAGTTCTGAGACTTTAGAAACCCCCAGGCTTTTACTTCAGTCTTGGCAGACTCCGTTCAGCATGGGTTTCCGAAAGCAACTGACCTTTACCAGACCCATCCTAGGCACTTGCTCTGATTTTCACAAAGGTAGGGATGATGCGGACAGACAAACTGAAAACCCAGATGGTACCTTCCTCAGCTGCATTTGGCCAGTTTCTGCAGCCGTGCAGTGAGTCGCACGGGTTGAGGTCCTGGTGCAGTTGGCGGAAGCGGTCATGGGGGCAGGCGCAGCTGGCTGCGGACGTGGCGCTCCAGGAAGGCCACCTGGTCATGGCCGGGTCTGCGTGCTGTTCCGGAGAGAACCGGGCGTGTCTCCGGCCAGGAGTCGGTTCAGTAAGGGAGGGAGCAAGGATCGAATTGGCCCTTGATGTTTGCTGTTCCATTCTTATCTCTTCCTAGAGGCTGATAGTGTGTCTGGAGGAGTCTCTTTATATACACAGCATTCGGGACATGAAGGTCCTGCACACGATCAGGGAGACGCCCCCCAACCCTGCAGGTAAGCTTAGCAGGGTGAGATCGTCCGCTTTTCTGATTGTAACTTTCAAAGATGAGCTGTTTTCTCCTTGTAGGTCCCACCGGGGTTGACCGCTTTTGAAAGTATTGATCTGAAACCAAGCAAGCTGCCGGCCTTCTGCCGCTAGTCTGGCGACCACAGAAATCATTGTTTTCATCAGCTTCCAGTTCGGAGGCTGCTCACGAGGTCCCACCCGTGGCCTTCAGTCTGCCCCTGGGGGAGATGGTTGGGGGCTGCTGCGGCCGGGCCTGGAGACACACACCTGTGATAGGGGCTGACCTGCGGGTAGCAGCTCAGCAGGACCCCCCCGGGCCTGACTGTCCGTGTTTGGTTCCGCGTGTCCCGCAGGCCTGTGCGCGCTGTCCATACACAACGACAATGGCTACTTGGCGTACCCAGGCAGTGCCACCATCGGAGAGGTGCAAGTCTTCGACACCATGAACTTGGTGAGGCCCCTTCTGTACCGGGTCCCTCTCACCAGCGGCCCCACTCTCTGCCCCAAGCACCGGGGTGTCGCTAGCGTCCGCTTTTCCTTGGGTGGGCAAGGCGGGTTTCACGGCCGCCTTCCTGGTGGTGGCGCAGGGCTGGGCAGCCTCTGCCTGCAGATTCCTGCCCGTGCTCCCACGGCACGGAGCCCCCGGCCATGTGGCTATTTGGGGGAGTGGAAAGAGCCCCAAAGAGCGGCGTCTCCTCAGCTCCCCCCACTCCACCCCGTGATTTTCGTGTTGAACCGGTTGGGGTTTTAGCCACACTAGGCTGGCCCTTCAGCCTGAGGGCCTGTCTTGCTGCGTGGTGGCCGTGTCACTGTGGTTTTGCCTCTCAGAGGGCGGCGAACATGATCCCGGCTCACGACAGCCCTTTGGCGGCGCTGGCGTTTGACTCCACCGGAACCAAGCTCGCCACTGCCTCGGAGAAGGTGCGTCTGCTGTGGCCCGGTAGGAAACCGGCCTGGGGGTTCGGGGCCCCGTCTCGCTCCACATGCACACGGTCCAGGTAGCAAACAGGTTTCTGTGCCGACCGCCTCCCAGAGCAGCACACGTGACAACCCGCTTGGGGCGCGCTCCCCGCCGTCGGAGCGCCTGTGGTCAGGGCGGGAGCTGCAGAGTCAGGCGCAGGGGGCGAGCTCCCCGGGGCCGCGAGTGCGTGTTGGGCCCGGCAGGGCTGAACACGCTGCTGTGTGCTTCCTTTGCTCCTTCTGTTATTGATTCACCGTTCTCTTTCACTCCGCGTAATGCTAGATTTCTCTGAGTTGGAAAACACTTCAGTGGCTGTACCGTATTCAGTCCTAGTTTACTGGAATGTTGCCCTTTGGGGAGGTTTCCATTTTTCCTAACATTTAGATTGCAATGGTATAATAACATTTGGAACATAACTAATTAAGAATATAGATGATTCTTACATATGGATCTTTTTTGTGCATCTTTATTCACTTAAGAGGTTGCTGTGAGTGGGCATTTCGGTGGCTCAGTCGGTTAAGCCTCTGACTCTTGATTTTGGCTCAGATCATGATCTCAGGGTTGTGAGATCGAGCTCCATGTTGGGCTCTACACTGGGCGAGGAGCCTCCTTAAGATTCTCTCTCCTCCTCTGCCCGCCTCCCCCCAAAAAGGAAGAGTCCAGTGGGCAGACTTTCTGTAAAAGGATGTGGTCTTTTTGAAGTTCTCTCCACGCAGGACAGAGTGACTCTGGCCTTCCCTCCAGCTTCCATGACAGCAAAGGGCCCTCTCTCTCTTGCTCACGAGGCTGCTACATCTTGTCCCTTCGCTGGTCCTCACATCTCGATAGTTCTGTTCTCTGGCCTGGCTCTTGATGATCTCCTTCATTCTGGCTTGTTCTTCCCTTCTGAGCACCGGTCCCAGCTTTCCAGCTGCCTAGTTTAGCTCTGATGCTTTCTCACAAAAAACTGAAAGTAGCATCTCTCCCATTGCCTCTCAGCTCGGCCCAGCCAACCAAGTAAGAGCCGAGAAAAGTCAGCTCACTTGAACTTTCCTGTGTGGGTCTCCGAGCTTGACACTCACACGCGGTTTCTGTAAGATCATCTGTGGATCACTCAGTCCTCAGGAATCCTTTATCTTCATGACCACATTCCGTCCCCTCAGCAAGGTCAACACTTGTTCATTTCATATCAGGGGCTCAGAGACTTTAAATAATATGCTCAGAGTCACCAGGTTGGGCGGCCACAGAGACTTGGACTCCAACCCTGGCTTTGCTTTTAAACACCTCTGGCCATTGACACTGTTACCTTGCCCACTGCTGCTGAAGCGGCCACCTTGGTTAATAGTCTCATCTCCCTTGTTTTCGTTAGGTCCCGAAAACTCCCTAAAGCACTTTGTGGAATCTCAAGGCCATTAAGAATAGAACAGTTTTTTTTTCCTGGGCTAGGAAGAGCAATCTTTTGATTTCCTTTTAACCCCCCAGTGTCCCTCCCCATCCTTCTGGGTGCTGGGTGCTGGGGCTGTGCCTAGATGTGTGCCTAATCCTGCTTTTAGGAGTGCGGGCGGGGGGGGGGGGGCCGTGGGGCAGCTGGGGCCAGCGGCCCTTTGTTAATTAGTCTTATGCACTAGGTATGCCAGTTAAAAAAAAAAACAAAACAAAACTAAATCAGAAAGTTGAGACCGGGGCACCTGGGTGGCTCAGTGGGTTAAGCCTCTGCCTTCTACTCAGGTCATGATCTCAGGGTCCTGGGATCGGGCCCCTCATCAGGCTCTCTGCTCAGCAGGGATCCTGCTTCCTCCTCTCTCTGCCTGCCTCTGTCTACTTGCGATCTCTCTCTCTCTCTCTCTCTCTCTCTGTCAAATAAATAAATAAAATACTTTTAAAAAAGAAACTTGAGACCACAAAGGATCAAACCTTTGCTGTGGTTATTTTCGTATGTGATTGCGCTATTTTGTCCCTCTAATTCTCAAGAATTATAAACTCATTTGGCATTCTTTTATCCAGAGAGAATGATTGTCTTTAAAAAAACATTTTATGGTAAAGATTTATTTTAGAAAGTGAAAGAGAGAGTGTGTGTGCACCACACACAGGTTAGGGAGGGGCATGGGGCAGGGGTGGCCCTCTTGCTGAGCACGGAGCCTGACTCTGGGCTCCATCCCATGACCCCAAGACCATGTCCTGAGCTGAAATCAAGAGTTGAACACTTAACGGACTAAGCCACCCAACTGCCCCTTTTAGATAACATTTTAAAGAAAGGGAAACGGTTTCTGGTGTTCTGTAATTCGGTTGTTTGTAGTTAATTTATTTTTACTATGTATAATAAACAGGTCAGATGTTATTAACAGTTTCAATACTGAATAAGTTTGAACCTTCCAAGGTGACACACTGAATAGTTCTTCCAGCCCCGCGAATTTGAGATACTCCCTGTTTTCAGGTTTTCCATTTTGTTCTAGGAGTCTCTTGTGCTCTTTTATTACTGTAGCTTGCTAGTATTCTTTTAACATTTCAGTGTCGAAAGTCCCATTTGTGTTCACTTTCTTGGTTCTCTTGACTTCCTGTCCTAGATGTCCCAAGTCCTGTCACTTTGGGGGAGGCGGGCCCTGGGGGTGCTGGCATCTCACTGGTGCCTCGTCTCCACGCGGGGAAGTGCGGCAGCTCACCGCTGGCTTGTAGCCTCCTCTGTCCGGTCCCGGACCCCCCACCCCGGTCAGTAATTCAGCCTGAAGTACAAGGAAGGATGTCGGGGGCCGCGGACCTCTCAGACCTAGGCTGGGTTAGGTGGTGCCCCCGACGTGTAGCATGTGCTTCGGGGCTCGGTGCGTGAGAGGCGAGGTGTCACGGGCCTTAGGACTAGAGCTGGCGCACGTGTGACGGCCAGGCTGTTGGTGTTGGGGAGAATAAGTGAGTCGCGGCGGCCACATCCAAAGGAAGGAACACTGCTGGGGGACAGACGCTGCCGGCGCGAGGCCCCCTCGTCTGTCCTTCACAGTCTCGTGGCAAGGAGACACGGGCTGGCTCTCCTTGGCTAAAATCCTTTTCTCTTTCCTTTCCCACCTGTCACAGGGGACCGTGATTCGGGTGTTCTCCATTCCAGAAGGACAAAAACTTTTTGAGTTCCGGAGAGGAGTGAAGAGGTAAGATACGTAAGTCCTCGCCGTTGATCTGGCACTGATTTGGACCTCAGAACCGTTTCTCTGGGTCACTTGGAGACTTCAAGCCGGGCTGGGCACCGCACTTGAATGCAGAAGTGCTTTCAGCCTAGCCGGATGGTCCACGGAGGCTTTGGAGCTCCCCCGAGGGGTAGAGGGACGTTTTTATAAAGCAAAGTGGTTTTCCTTTGTCTGTGGTCCCACTGAATGGAGGGCGATGGCCGGACAGCCCGGGAATGAGGAAGGAGTGGCCTGCGGGGCGCATGGCTTCCTCCGCCTACTCCGAGGTGGCAGGCCAGTGACTTCTGACCTGGCCAGCCTGCACCTGTCCTGCTTCTCTACCCCCGAAAACCTGCACCCCGTTCCCCCGCCACCCCGTCACCACTTATTTCCCTGTCTACACACCTCCCTTCCTTGATGCCTGCTTGGGAGGAAGGATCGTCTGTCCTGCTGAGGCCTGGAGCCTCTACCACAGGACTGGCTCAGGGGCTCTGGTCCCCATTCCAAAGGGGCAGCTGAGAACACCCACCTCAGGGCCTCAGGGCGGAAACTGGGCCAGCAGGTGTTCTAGAACCGCCCCCCCCAGGACCTTACACTGTTTCACTGCTGTCTTTCATCTGTGGGTCCTTCCCACAGACGGCACACACATATTTTAGGGTCCTATCTCCTGTGCCCCAGCCCTTCCCCATCACGGCCTCCTGGGTTTCTTTCCTTTTTCCCCTTGTTTTCCTTATACCACACCATTCTAGATTGGTCTCTTTGGCTGCTCCTGCCCCGTTTCCTTTTCCCATATCTCGCCTCTGCCCAGGAGCCGCTCTCATCCTGTCCTGTGCAGCCCCCCCAGCTCCCACGCCGTGTTGTCCATGTGCTGGTGACCCCTCCCCTGTCTGTGGGGCCCAGGCTGCTTTCCTGAGCTGTTTCCTGGTGCTGGCCCTTCAGCTACCAGCCAGAGTGTGCCCCCGTCTATCTGCCCATCGTCGCTCATAGGCCTTACCCTGGGAGACACTGGCACTGTCCGATCCAGTACCTGAGCCAGAGTGGCTCAGAGGGGCTCGACACTGGCCCCTTCCTTGCTTCCAGCTAGGTAGGGGGGTGTCAGTGCCCAGGTCAGTCCCACCAACCTCCGTCTCCCCAGGACCCCCGCCCACCCAGTTTGGATCCCCACCGCGTGACTTCCATGCCCCTTGGTCTCTGCTGTTGGCCCACTTGGTCTGTTTTGTCAGACCGTCGCCCCGGTTGCTCAGCAAGGGTGTCCGCACAGTCAGCACAACCCATGTGGAGCCTTCGGGGCACCTCCCGCCGGTAGGGCTAACTGTTCTCTAAGCCTGGCCTCCCACACCCTGCTTTTTCAGCTCTCTTCCCAGTTGCTCCCAGCTCCAGCCCCATGGAACTGTGGTTCTGTGGAGGACTGATCTGTCCATACGGGGTCTCCTATGCTGGTGTCACACCTGTGATGGGGCCGACTCCTGAGCCCTTGACGTCTGTATCGAGTGTCTCTGCCTTGGGGAGGCCCTCCGGACCCTCTCATAAGCCCCTGTTCCTCTAGCGCGGCCCTGGCACACCTTGGCTCATAGCACCTTTCCCTTCCGCACTCACGCCTTGCTGAGCAGTCCCTGATTCATCCCCCGGGCTTTGTCCAAGGCCTCAGGGCAAAACATGCCCTGTCCTTGTCCGGCCTCAAGGAAGTGCACTTACTGGAGGTTTTGGCATTTTTACAGTGATTCTTAGAATCAACTGTAGAGGGGCGCCTGGGTGGCTCAGTGGGTTAAAGCCTCTGCCTTCGGCTCGGGTCATGCTCCCAGGGTCCTGGGATTGAGCCCCGCATCGGGCTCTCTGCTCAGCAGGGAGTCTGCTTCCACCTCTCTCTCTCTCTCTCTCTGCCTGCCTCTCTGCCTACTTGTGATCTCTGCCTGTCAAATAAATAAATAAAATCTTAAAAAAAAAATCAACTGTAGAGTCTTAGCATGTTGAAAGTTTTGTTTTTTTCTTAAATATTATCAAGGTTGTTAGTTTGCTTTCTTCACGTTAAGAGTTGCTGTAATTTAAATTACTGGCTTTTCTTTTGCTAACCTTAGTGCTGTAAATCCAGCCTAATACAGCTGAAAATGGTTTCGTGAAGCCCCGATGCCCTTTGTTGTTTGGAATGTCAAAGAAAATGGGCTAAGAAAATAACCAAAGAATTGCTCTTAACTTGGTATTCCCTTTAAAACATTTTCTTTTCTTCAGAAAAATTTTTGAAAAGATGTCTGCAGGGGCGCCTGGGTGGTTCAGTCCATTGAGCGTCTGCCTTCAGCTCTGGTCATGATCCCAGGGTTCTGGGATTGAGCCTGCTTCTCCCTCTTCCTCTACCCCACTCCCCTTTTCGTGCTCTCTCTCACTCTCTCTCTCAAATAAAAATCTTTTTAGGGGGGAAAAAAAAGGGAAAGCGATCTGGAGAGGAGTAAGAAAGATACTGGTAGACTCAAGTGTCCTATTCTGGGAACTTCTTCTCTGACTTTTTAAAGTCCCTGGAGAGAGGTTGCGGATCGTGGGCACCAGGGGCTGTGGGCGACAGCGTAACCCCCTCATTCCACTTGCCCCCAGGTGTGTGAGCATCTGCTCCCTGGCCTTCAGCATGGACAGCATGTTCCTCTCTGCGTCTAGCAACACTGAGACTGTGCACATCTTCAAACTCGAGACTGTGAAAGAAAAGTGAGTTGCAAAGACACGTTTGTTGCACAAAACACCAGGCCCTTCTCCCCTGCCTGGATGGGAGCCCCGGCACAGACACTGCCCTGCCTTCAGTCATTTTTGCCAGTAAAGGCCCTGGAGCTGGCTCTCCAGTAAGTGTCACCAGGTCCGGGCTCGGCAGAAAAATGGCCTTCCCTGAGAGATGAAGCTGGGAGGGTGACGATGGGCGTCCTGGGGGCCGTGCACCCGTCCGCCTCTTAGCACCACCTTAACCCACAGACACACTTAAGGGAGGGCGCCCCCGCGGAGTGAGTGCTGGCTCCAGCTGCCCACAGGCGGTTTCCGTTTTCACAAGACCCTCTAGGGTGAGCATTATCTGTGTGCTGTCTCAAAGATCATTTCAGATGACTTAAAATATGTGCAAGATGGACAACCACAAAAATGGGCTCTGGGAAAATAATTTGAGATTTTGCTTATCAGGTTTTTGGAGACTTCGTGTTAAAAGCATGTGGGGTGGGGGGTGGATCGTGAATTTGGCCTCGTATATCTTCGCATTTGCTGCAGGGGGTGGGGGACTGATCATCTACTGGTCTGTGACAGTCCTCCTGTGACCCTTCCCGGAAGACATGCCCGTAGTGCTCCCAGGCTCTCGAGACGTTGTCCTTCTCTGCCCCTTTTTCCTGAGGGATGGGGAAGTCCTCCTCAGGTTTCAGGCCTGGCTCCCATGAGTCGCTCTGTGTCTGATGATGGTTCCCCCTTCCCAGGCCTCAGGAGGAGCCCACCACCTGGACCGGCTACTTTGGGAAGGTTCTCATGGCCTCCACCAGCTATCTGCCTTCCCAGGTGACAGAGATGTTCAACCAGGGCAGAGCCTTTGCCACAGTCCGCCTGCCTTTCTGCGGCCACAAGAACATCTGCTCGCTGGCCACGTGAGTATGGCTGGGGTTGCCGCTCTCCCGTTTGCCGCTGTCCGTCCAGTCGAGAGCCTGGTCACAGACCCCCCCCCTCCGCAAGCTGGCAGCACTGGGGCTGGGCTAGGTTTCTCCTGGGCCAGGAACTTGGTTCGAAGCGGCAGTGGAGGAAGCACGCAGGTGCCACTTCCCTGTTACTAGACGTGAGTGGTAGAGTGGAAACTGCAGGAGGGTACAGGGTTCACTCCTGTGGGGCCCTGTCTGTGTCGCCCTGGGGCACACGGATCTCACGTGGCATCTCGTGAGCCTCATTGGATGGCCCGAAGCAGAGCCATGCAGGGAAGTACGGTCCTTCCTGGGTTGGCACATCTCTGGTTCCATGAATCTTATAAATGTCATTTTACTTCGTTCTTGTGCAGCTGATAACTCAGGTGAAAAAGCTTATGAAAACACTCACCGTTAGCAAGTAGAGAAGCCGTGAGACTGACCTTGTCTGCACCTGTTCTCCCGTGGGCTTCGGTGTTTAGATGCACGAAGTGCTCCCTCGGCTTCGATGCTGCGGCCTCAGGCAGCGCGGCGGGTGTGATCTTTGTCCCGAGTAGATGATCTGTGGAGCGCATGGCACTGACCTGTGGCTCCTGTGGGGCAGGGGTGAGGGGCTTCCTCCCCGGCCGCGCGGAAGGTAGGGCTGCAGGCGTAGGAACAGCGTCGGCTGCAGTCCGCGGTCCTGGAACGTGGCTCCTTTTTTTCTTGCTAGAATTCAGAAGATCCCCCGGCTACTGGTGGGGGCGTCCGACGGGTACTTGTACATGTACAACCTGGACCCGCAGGAGGGCGGCGAGTGCACCCTGATGAAACAGCACAAGTAAGTGGGCCTCACGCCGGCCGTTCCCGCGGAAGCCAGGGGCGCGAAGGGACGCGTCCCCATGGAGCTGGCCTGGGCTGGGAGGCCTTGCTTCCCCGTGCTCCCGCGCCTCTCTGCCAGCGTCCCGTTGCTGTCTGGGCAGAGAGCGGACAGGTGGCTGGTGTGGGGCGAGGAGCACTGCGGCAGGAACTGGGCATGTTGCGAGAAAGGGGCAGTGCTCCTGGTGTCCTCCCCAGTGTGGCGTGCGTCCCGGAGCGCCGGCTGTCTCCCTGCGACCTACAGGTGTCCTCTCTGAAAGGAAGGCGTTAGTATCTGTTCGATGGGAGGTAGTGCAGTTTGCTTTTGCTTTTTTAAAACTATCCAGAAATTCTAAAAAAAATGACACTACAATACTGTAACTGTAATGGGGAAAGTGGGAGTGTTTTTTAGTAAGTTCTGTTTACGATCTTCAGTCTTAAAACTGCAAGATTATCTCACTAGCTATAACTTTTTCATCCGACTTCCCATGGACAAATTTTGGTGCCAGCTCCACGTGAAGAGGCACGCAGGGAAGGAGCTGACTGAGTGCCGGGCGAGCAGCACGCTCGCATGTCCATCCCAAGCAGCCTCTGGCCCCTGCTGCGGCATGTCTGGCCCCGCAGGCCCCAAGGCGATGAGGTCAGGACCCCCGAGCGTCCTCAGTGTTCTCACTCTCTGCTTCCTCCAGGTTGGATGGCAGCATGGAGACAACCAATGAGATCTTAGACTCAGCCTCTCACGACTGCCCCTTAGTGACCCAGACCTACAGCACAGCGGCCGCCACAGGAGCTCACGTGCCTTCGTCTCCGACCAGACTTGGTAAGGGCCGTGACGCGAGCCTGGAAGGTGCCTGGTCCAGTCCCTCCCGCTGCAGTCTGCGCTTGGTGCACTTCCCCTCAGCTGCGCTGCGGGCAGGGGACAGGTGGGCTCAGAGGCGAGCTCTTGTCAGCTGGGGATTTCAGGCTGAATCCTCTGTGTCCACTTTCGAAGGAGAAATAGTCACGACGGCTCGGGCTGCTTCGGGTACACGGAATTATCCTTAGGTTGCTGCCGCTCAGCTAAAAAATATTACCCTAAATTCTGACGTTGCCAAGCAGGTGTCCTTGGTCCTGTGTCATCATTCAGTAAGCCCACGTGGGACGCCCCTCAGCGCTCGGGCCCCGGGAGGACAGTGCTGTAGGCCGACATTCGGGCCCCCGCTTCGGGAGCTGGGCGGCCGGTGAGCAGATGGACAGATGGGCCGTGCAGCCGCCCCTCCCCGCTAGTCAGCTTGACTGCAGGTGAGCGATCCTATAGGTTTGCTCACACGGGAGACTGTGCTCGCTCACCGTGACTCTGAGATGAGGTGGCCCTTCCCATCAGGTGAGGCGCCAAATGTCTTGTGTCCGCGTTGGGCATCACCAGTTTGAGAACTGTCCCCGTCTTCTCTGTTCACTGAGGGAAACTTGTGGCCTGTTGGGAAGCCCCTATTTACTGTGCAGCCGTCCTTCTGACATTTACGAATTTGGGAAAATAAAGGACTTCATCTTGAGCTGCCCAAGGCTGCAGAAAGCTTGTAGTCAGAGAGTCAGAGAGGGATCACAGTTCAGTCTTGTGCACTGTAGCTTGCGGCTGTCCGGGTCTGGCCCCTGGAGCTGCCAGGCCCTGCCTCCCCACCTCCCCATCTCCCTGCCTCCCCGCCTCCCCATCTCCCTGCCTCCCCGCCTCCCCATCTCCCTGCCTCCCTGCCTCCGCATCTCCCTGCCTCCCTGCCACCCTGCCTCCCAGCCTCCCCGCCTCCCTGCCTCCCAGCCTCTGTGCCACCCAGCCTCCCTCACCTCCCAGCCTCCCAGCCCCTGAGCACGGCCACTGTCTCTGCAGCCTACACAGATGAGCTGGGAGCAGTGGGCGGCGCGTGTCTGGAAGAGGAGGCCAGTGCCCTGCGGCTGGAGGAGGACAGCGAGCACCCTCCTATGATTCTTCGGACAGACTGAACTTGATCTGTGAACTCTGACCCCCGAAGCAGAGAACACTGGCTTGACGGAGGACTTTGTATGCTGCTATGAACTTTGACCTGAGTTGGGAGAGGATGGCAGAGACTTAAAAAGAAAAAAAAAAAAAAAAGATCGTAGCTGTAGTCTCATTCCATACTGTTGAGAAATACATCGTTTTCACTTCAGTGGCTTTTAAATCCTGCTTAGGAATCTTAGCTTTTTGTTTGTTTTCTCTTTTTGCCAAAATTAACTGTTTGGTGAAGCCCTTGAAACCTTGCTTTGCATGCATTAATGTGCCAAGCCGGCGTAGGAGAACTAGAAGCCACTTTTTGACAACCGCAGTTGCTTGGTTTCTAAAACCTGCATATAACGAGGCGCGCGCGTGAGGATGAGACGGCATCGTGCAGAGCGGTTCTGGGTGTCGAGGCGGGTTCTGCTTGGGCGGGTCCAAGAGCCCTCTCCGGGCTTGCCAGGCCGGGGGCGTCCGCTGTGGGGAGGAGTCCTCTCTCCCCACAGCCCCTCCTGGGACCTTTTCCCCATTTTATTTTGTTAATTAAATTCTTTCCAAATTGGATTATTCTGGGATTTCTTGTTTGCCGGACTTTTATCTTCTTTCTGGCCTTATTTTCCATGTGGGTGCTGGAGGAGAGGCGTTCTTTCTGGTATTCATAGTCTTCCTCTTGGACAGCACGTGCACTGGAAAGAGTACATCGGAAGGCCAGAGCAAAGCAAAGTGGTCTCACTTGTATAATTAAATGACCTGGTCTTTAATTTTCCTGGTGAGAAACTGCAGTGGGGGGGGGGTTTGCTCGTCTTTAGGGAATTTTGTAGCCTTTCCCTGTACCCATGGAGCACAGAATCAGAGTGTGGGGGGCACCCAAACTGCCCTCTGACCTTGAGCCCTGCCCTCTGTCAGGGGCTCTTCTCACCTGTGTTAGAAATACTAGAGACAGAAGCACGGTGAGGGTGGGAGTTGGCTCTGAGCACCTGCCTTATGGGGTGAGATGCGCCTTTTCTGTTTTCACCTTACAGAATTGTTCAGAGTGTCGCAAGATTGTGGTCACAGGTCCTAGTGTTAGCCCAGCTCCCCTTTTCATTCTTACAGAGTTACACAAGTGCAGGTATCTCGCACTCTGCACTCCAAACCAACACATCCAGCAGTCCAAGCTTTGAGGCAATTCAAGTGGAGTTAATGGTGTGAAAAATCATGATAGAGTCTTTGGAATGGTGACGGTTACGGACGGGAATGAAAAAAAAAAAAAAATACTGGATCCGCTCTCCTTTCTCCCTTTGTAGGGCTTCTGAGCAGATGGGGCCAGAGCTCTGGGTTGTGTTGGTTGAGGCCGCCGTGTGGCCTGGAGAAGGGGAAGGGCAGTCGTCAGTGGCGCGGACGGCCCACTCCACGTGCCCGACCTCGAGGCCAGTCCACAGTTCTGGGGCTGCATGTCCAGCAGTCAGCTTAGGTGGAAGCCTCTGTGCAGAGGGCATCCCAACTGCGGCGGAAGTTTCTAGAAGCGCTGGTTACGGCAGCCACCAGAGGCGCTGTGCTAGTCAGAGATGAGCTTCCCTCAACGGCGCCCGCCTGCACCTCCGATGAGCTGTGACCTCCGTCTCTGCATTGGCTGAGCCCTGAGCAGGGGTCCTCCTCACCCGAGGACTCGTGGGTGCAGACTCGCTGTGTCAGGCCTGGGAAGCCCTCTCTCTGTCCCCTCTGGAGCAAGGCACTGGACTCCGTGTCCTCAGGGGCACATGTGGCCGGGGTGAGCGTTCTTGCGAAAATCGGCATCAAAGGTGCGCGTGGTGGGTGGGGGGCCGGGAGCTGGGGCCTCCTCATTACCGAAGAGAGAACTGCCTTTCCTGTGTGTGTTAAATACTGCCCACCTTGGCGTCTGCTTGCCGGCTTCGACGCTCGCGGCGATGTGTGGGGAGTCAGATCGGCTCTGTGGTTAGTCCTGGCAGAGGCCGTGGCCACGTCTGTCCTGGGAGCCTGGGGACTCCCTTGCCTGTCAGCCACCATCTCCTCCACGGCAAGACGGGCGCTTAGAACAGGCGACCTGAGCGGCTTGTGACTGGCAGGACTGGCCAGGTGCTTCGAGCCTGAGACACGGGTGGGAACATGGGAAAGGAGGGAACCCGAAGAAGCTGCCAAGGTGCCCATTCGCGGGGCTCCTGAGACGAAAAGGCACCCGGCTGAACCCGACGTGGCCCTCGGTTGCTCACTGTACACCAGGGTTAACTTTGTATTACATCAGAGTGTTCCAAGCTCCTGAAGGAATCGGGATAGGAAACAAAACCAGACGCTTCCTTCATTGACCCTTGGGGATTGGGACAAAACCCTTCATGTTTCTAAAGCTGCGGAAGCCATGGGTGGATTGAAGCCAGAGCTGAAAACACCTGCGTGCAGCCCCCGATTCTAGTGCCTTCCTGTTGCCGTGGCCTGCGTGGGCCCCCTGGGGGCCCAAGTCTCCTGTGCAGGACCACAGGACGATCCTTGCCTGGCGGGCTACGGGCACCTGGCAAACCCCGGAACAGAAACGGGTCTTAGCGGAGCCAGTGGTGGTTCTCAGTTCTTGTCTCTGAGTACTAAGCTGGTGGGAAAGGGGAAATAACAACATACGTGGCACAGTTGAGGTCATGTGGCTCCCTTTCATCCCTGCCTTTTCCGCTCCCGGCTTCCAGGGCCACTAAGAGGCTCCCTGTGTGGATCTTGGGCAGGGGTGTGGGGACACATGCAGCGAGAGCACTGCTGGTCCGTGGTCGCCCCAGAACAGAGCCCCCTCCACCAGTGGCCAATCTGCCCCCTGGCCACCAAGAACCACGGAGTTCCCAGGCTTTGCCTCCTCATGGATCCATTTTGGGAGCAGATAAAAAGATGGGGTCATATACAGAAAAGACTAGGCATCCTCAAGTCACAGACTCACAAAGGGAAATGAGGCGGTTGGTGGCGGGAACAGTGTTCATGGCTCGACACAGCTGTCTGTGGCAGCCTTGGTAATGGCCTCCGTGCTCTGTGCCAGCTGTGCTGGGTTGGTCTGTATGTCCCCCATCCTAAATGTCCAGAGGTCCCACCTTTTGCATGCAGGGAATGATAGGACTTCTCATTTAAAATATCTTTGCGACACTGTAGCTAACACAGCTGGAAATCCAAATATGTTATTTTACAAGTGTATTTAATTCTTTTTTTTTTTTAAGATTTTATTTATTTATTTGTCAGAGAGAGAGAGGGGGAGAGAGAGCAAGCACAGGCAGACAGAATGGCAGGCAGAGGCAGAGGGAGAAGCAGGCTCCCTGATGAGCAAGGAGCCCGACGCGGGACTCGATCCCAGGACGCTGGGATCATGACCTGAGCCGAAGGCAGCCGCTTAACCAACCGAGCCACCCAGGCGTCCCCAAGTGTACTTAATTCTTAAGATGGACAGGTTGAGAACTTGGGGTTTGGGTCCTGCGGTGTCAGAGACGTAAGAAAACATTGCATTCAAGCCACTGGTGTTCTGTTGGGGAGGAGTGCTTTCTACAGAATTCTCTTTTGTGAACAACTGATTTCTTACTGAAAATATGTAACAGTAGTTCATTGCCAAGCAGAGCTCACTGATGCATATCCCAGTTTCCACCCACGTCCTAACCCCCATGGCCCATACTGGAGCTTTTCATCCCGTGGATTTTGTGAAGCACACAAAAAATTGGCAGTCCCTCTTCTCCTTCGCTGGTATCAGACCAGGAAAGTCTTTCATTTGGGAAAATTAAATCTTTTCAAAGCTTAGAATTTTAAGGGACTGTTTTGATGCGTTTTCTTCATATTATTTCATTCTTTACTGAGTTGTAATTTAATTCTGTTCCTTCTCACATTTCCTTTCCAGGTGAACGTGTTGTACGTGCTGCCCGTGTGTATGGGGTCGGGGGAGGCGGCAGTGTGTGTGCCCATGTGTGCACACGCGCATGTACTATGAGTAAATGTGCTACTGGTAACATTCCAGACCCAATCAGACTGGGAAGCCCTCGCCGTTTGCATTTTACAACTGCGTTAAGACTGTGAAACCTGTGGTGTCCTTTTCCTCCCCCGGTCGCTTCGTTCCCCTCTGCCAGGCTGTACCTCTCTTTTGTGACCACATTTAAACGCACTGTAATCCTTACCTAGAATATTATGGCAAAATAGCAGAATCCTGCAGCCCGACTGAAATCTCATAAAGGTTTTCATCCAGAGTTGATTTCTGTCCTTTGTGAACGAGATGACCGGGTTCTTTCTACCAGCGTTCTGGGCCTCCCCTGACAGGTGGTCCTCGGGACGCTGTGTCTCAAGCGGGATGGCTCGGCTCAGACAGGTGAGGGCTGTCCCGCGTGGAGGCCGCTGGAGGTGACAGCCTGTCGGTGACAGGGAGGCCGCAGGAGGAGCTCTGTGCACGTTCCCGCCTGGGCTCAGCTGTGACTTGGGGGCGGGCTAGCTCGGTGGCTTCTGTTAGAAGCACGTCCTTCTGAGCGGGACATGGCTGTGCC